GGGGGGGAGTAAGAGGCACTGGCAGGGCCAGGGAGCTTTGGGTGGGGAGTGAGGGGCACCTGGGGCTGTGGGGGGCTTCTGGTAGGGGGTGAGGGGCCATGCTGAAGAAATGGGGTCATAAATGGGGTCAAGCTGAGGAAACGTTTGGGAAGCCCTGCTCGAGAGATTCTGGGGCAACTTCACCAAAGCTGAGTCTGCCCCTGCAGGTGATTACATTCATCTTCCTTCAAGTCCTGCAGCCTCAAAGTGGCAGTAGATCTCCAGGTCTGCCACGCTGAAGCCAAGTGGCTGATGGTGCAGTGATGTTGGATATGCACTGAGGGAGCGAGAGGAGAATTTGGCCCAATGGTCTCTCTTATTTCTGTTGTATTTTGTCCTGCATTATAACAAAGCTGCTGCAGTCCCTGGGCCATGGAATACCTACCACCGGTTTTCTAAAACTATACTGCTGATGTACATTGACTGTTAAGGAGCAAATGGACTTTTCTGGATCCTTCATTGGTTTAATTTTTATGTCAGAGTTCTCTCAGCAGCACGGGTGAGGGGCAGGAAATCTCATCTTCTGGACTGCTGCTACCGCCGCTTCATAGCATCAGCAGTGTCAGCTCTCTTGTGCCCGGGGTTCTTCAGAGTGGATCCTGATGTCCCGTTCGCTTTCCCCCGCCCCATTCATACATATTGGGAGCAGGGCTGTGCCTGCTTTGGCATTGGCTCCCAGGTGCAGGGAGAGCATCATTCTGCTTACCCCCGTTCACTTCCCACCCCCCAGATACATTGTTTTGTGTGGTACTGTCCTGCTTGGCTCCTATGGCCACCCTGGTGCCACAAAGACTTCTGGTGTAGGTGGTATCCTGGCTCCCGTTCACAGTCAGCCCCCAGGATGGGTGCCCCGTGACCCTGCCCTAGGTATGCTACTGAAATCTCTCTTGTCAACCTTGGCAGCCCCCTCCCTTGCTTTTCTTCCTACACCCTCAACACCACACTTGGACTAGGTAACAATTCAGTTCTACTTCCTATTTTTTTTGCCATTAAGTCAGCGTGTCTAGAGAAACTAAGACAAGCAGCAACTTCAAGAAAAATGTATATTTTAGAATAAAGTGCATGTTTCAACTAAAATATGGTGAATATTAGGGCTGTACAAAATGGAAGCGTTTCGTTTTGACCAGCGTTTCTACGTTTTGACACAACAGTGTTTCATTTCAACTTTTGTTTCGAGTCGAAACGGCTGTTCCGTTTCGTTCCATCAAAACGTTTTGACATTTCAACCCTGTTTCGATGTTTTGCCCATAGGATATAACGGGGAAGGTCGAAACAGGCTATAAGTTTGTCAATTCTGGCCAGATTTGGATAAAAATTGACATCCTGAAAGCAAAACTTTTGTCACATGAAGACACAGTGGGGTCAAAACTGCAGGCATGCTAGCCCGTGCTGAGGCCACAAAGCCTGC